CCCCCTGGCACCCTCCAGCGTCTTCTTCCGAGGTCGCCCCCTGGAACCCTCCAGCGTCTGCTTCCGAGGTCGCCCCCTGGCACCCTCCAGCGTCTGCTTCTGAGGTCCCCCACTGGAACCCTCCAACCGCTTCTTCCGAGGTCCCCCCCTGGAACCCACCAGCGTCTTCTTCCGAGGTTCCCCCCTGGGACCCTCCAGTGTTTTCTTCCCAGAAGAGCCTTCTCCTGGAGCAGCCCCTGAACTTGGAGCTGGCAGGCTCCCAGGCAACTTTTTCAGGTAAACTGGGCCCCAGATTCTGTCACACGCCAGCCTCCCAACCTGGAGCCCGCTTGGCGGGAGCCCTGAGCCGGCCTGAATGCGGGAGTCTTGTTGAGCGCTGCAGTTGCTTGCTGTGTGACCTTGGACAAGCCTCCTGCCCTCTCTGGGCCTTCACTTCCTCACATGTCAAGCTAGAGGCGAGACTGCTTGTCCAGGGCTTCCCGGCTCTGGGAGCGGACGGGCTGACTCTGGGGAGGGTGACTGGCTCTGGGGCTTCCAGCAGGGCCCTCGGCTGACGACAGCTCCAGCACCTCTTCCGGGGAGTGGTACCAGAACTACCAGCCGCCGCCCCAGCCCCCCTCCGAGGAGGAGCCATTTGGGTGTCCAGGTGCCAGTGACAGAGGTGAGGGGGTGGGTAAGTGGGGAAGCTCTGAATCCGGTGGGTACAGCAGCCTGGGGGCGAGAAGACGTGGAGATTTCTTTTTTTTTAAATAAATGAAAATATGGGGTGGTGGAAAAGCAGATGTGGGTGGGACCAAGATGCAGAGAGAATGCCTTGCCGGGAGTGAGCTCCGGAGGAGGGACGCGGTCAGGCAGAAGCGGCGGGGCCTTGGGAGGTGGCGGCCACAGCAGGCCTCTGGGTGGGCACACAGCCCTGAGCCAGGTAAGGCTCCGCCGGGGCGGACCTCCCAGGGAGGCAGCTGACCAGGCCAGGTGGTGGGGAGGGGCCTGCACACCCAGCCCTGCTCAGCTCTGTCCCACAGGGTCACAGGGCAGTGACTTGGCCTCCGCTGACCCGAGTCTCCGGCCACACAGGGTCCCCCAGCCCCCAGCCCGAGTCTACCGACGAGGACTACGATGACATCGGAGCCGCCTAACCTGCATCCAGCCGGCTGCCGGTGGCTGCCACCCCGGGCTCCTGCTCTCGCTACTGCCCCTGCCCACTCCTCGCCCCAGCCGGGCCCTGAAGGAGCTGAGAGGCCTCGCTGGAGAGCTGGAAGGAAACGCCATCCCTCAAACAGAGCCTGCTGGCCCAGCTCCCCCAGCCCCAAGTAGCAGCCCCACTGTGGACAGGGCTGCTTCGGAGAGGTAGTGAGCCCTCTGTCCCAGGGGTTAACCAACAGAGCCTGGGCCCCCTCTGGGCCAGCTTCGTGGAGACTTTGGACTGACCGGCCCCGGGGGGCCCTTTGTAGCCCTCTGGTGTCTGGTGCTCTGGTACCTCGAATCTCAAACAGCTCTGGGCCTGGAGGTACTGAGGGGCAGACAACAGCCCCAGCCCATGCTGCCGGGGGCCTCTGTGCAGGGACTGCTGGGAGCTGTCACCCCGACAGGCTGGCGTCTGCACCCGGCAGGGAGCCCGGCCTCCTGGGCACAGACCGTGGGGTGACTGTCCCTCCGGAGCCACCAAAGGCCTGGTACCTGAGGCCATTCCTTTTTCTAGAGACCCTCGAGCCGCCCAAGGCACAGCCCTGATCTGCAGTGATTTGTGGACAGTGGATCAGGGATGGTCCTGGCCCAACCCGCGTAGACTCAACAAGTTGGGGCCCATTCCCTGTGGGTCTACCGGGGCCCAGCAGCTGCACAGCTGAGTCCCCTCCTGTCTGCTGGACAGATGGGGGCCTCCCTGGAAGAGCACCAACCTGCAGCCACATGCCCCGGCAGCGAGGGTGTCCTGGCAGCGAGGGAGGTGCGGGCTCAGGGCCAGCTCTGGGATCCTGAGATTAAACTAACTGCTGAATGAAGCCTGGCGTGGAGCGACATCCTTGGCTCCTGGAGGCCGGACCCGCGCCTGTCACTCGGGCCGTGGGGCAGCCACGGCCTCTGGGAAGCCCGCCGTGGCCAGCACCACGAGGAATGCTGACTCAGGCCCCGCCCCAGGGGAGGTGGACTCTGTGACAGTGACCTCCCAGCAGTCCATGACCCCTCCATGGCCCATCTGCCCTGCAGCGGCCAGCTGGGAGCAGGG